ATCAAGTATAAAAGAAACCACCAAAAATAGTCAAACAGGGCAAAAAAATAATTACAAATCTGCAACTTCCTCCCCGAAATCGCTAAGAAAAATCAATTCGCCACAAGCATTGACCAGCATCAACTCATCACCAGAAAGAGACTTTCGCACTCCACCTAGCGCGTCTCCAGCAGTTAGACATCGAAATTACTGCATGTAGACAAATATTCTCCAAATATCCCGACCTCAATGTCCTACTTACACCCCAGACTTACAAACACTCTGCCGAGCCAAAAACAAAATCAGTAAACCCACCAACCAGCTCCAAAAACTACCATTAAAGTTTATATTTTAATATCATGCTCTCAATATTACAGTGGATTATGAATGGGTACACAAACAACTACCACCAACTCGAACTTCTCCTTAACCGTTATTCCCCCTCGATCCTACTCCTAAATGAAACCCATGTCCCTCACAATCACCCCTACACTTCTAAAAACTACGCTGGATATTTCAACAACCTTCCCCATAACACCACTAAGAAAAAGGCAATGCTATCGTAGTGAGAAGAAATATATCAGTGTTTCCCTCTTGAAAAAACTACATTTTATCGCCTTTAAAAAAGTACTAAACTACCTCATTCCCTATTCCAAAACCGATTTGCAATCACTGAACAATTCTTTGACATTTACTCTATTCTTATCGTTGGAAACTGAAAATTAAATTAGAAATTTCAACATTAATTCGGCAAAAAAACATCGGTTTAGAGTTCTCCCCAAGGATTTGTAGTTATTTTGGTCGGTGCTTCCTTCCGCTGCAATTCCGTCTGTGGTTCACTGCCACTGGCCTTGCTTTTTCAACGATATAACTGTTTTCTTGGTAAGTTTAGATGGAAGATTTAAACAAGAACTACGTATTTAACTATGCATCTATTCCCCAGTGATTTTTTCTGCTGCAATCCCGTCTGTGGTTCACTGCCTCTGGCCCTGCTTTTCCAACGATATAACTGTTTTTTTGGTAACTTCTACCGCTAAGACTTTGTTGCTTTTTCCCTTTTCCCTAAAAACATAATAGTGCTACAAAGCTCAATAACAATATGGAAACAAATGTTAATAAGCCACAATAATATTGACAATAAATAAGATTTCACTACGATTGAATTTTCTATTAGTAACAGGGTAGTTATAGTGAATGTTTTATTCGATAACTAAAACTATATTTGATGTTTGTAGCGATAAAAATATGCCTAAATCAGCCAAATACCCTATGTGGGTCGGCTGAATCAGTAAAACGTGACAGTAGTTGACTTTTGAGGTTAATATATCGGTCTTGAGTTGGTAAGGTTTTTAAAAAATCCGCAGCTTCCTTTAAAGCATCGCTGCTAATTGCTGAGAAAACCAGATTGTATTTACCGACATAAGATGTGGTCTTGTACGACTGAAAGGTGGCCTCAATTTGTAGAAACCATTTGTCTGTCATCTCAGTTCAGAACGGTCGCAGCTTGCATTGCGATGCAAGCTCCACATCTTTAGTTGGCATTTTGTTCGATGAAATATTCTCCCCATCCGTCGATTCGCCCTTTTGTCGATTCCGTCATGTTGTAACGACTCGGGGTCACCACTAATTTTTTGGTTTTGGAAGTTTGACTATAATTATAGGACATTGTGTTTAATAAACTAAATTACCATTTATTGCATAAGTACTACGTTATATATACTACTTTCGCGAATTTAGCTTATCATAATATACCGTTTGTAACTATTTATATGCAAAATTTTATATGAAAAATAGTACCAAATTTCGTACTACTTCGCAAAGCGGGCTTTTTTTCTTCCCGTTTCTCTCGTGCTTCCATATTACAACCTTTTGTAAGGGAGCTGTCGACATGAGCTGACACTACGTACAACACCTTGTATAATTCCACCATGCACATCAATTAATTCAATGTCAATGGCAGTCTACAAAATTAAAAATTAAAATGCCTCATTACATTTAACGGATAGGATTGAGCATGATTCAATAATGAAAGGTTTTGTAAGAAAAACTTTCTCTCGCTCTAATTTTATCAATGACACTCCCACCCTACTCCTAAAAACAAAAACAGTGATATTTCTTTTCCAAATTTCTTTGCAAGTTTTAAGAACATTTTTAAATTGTTAGTAGTGAAATTTTTACTTTTTAAATTTGAAGAAATGTTTGTTCTGCATTCGCTGGCGCCAACAAGACAAAATGGGTGAGAATCGTTGGACTACAGAAATTCAATGTTAAGAGACGAAATTCCCTTAAATGCCGAAATGTATTTGTCGATATTCGTGGAGACCTCTTGATTCTGCCAAGTCGCTGTAAAGTAAAGCGTTCAATGAGCCAACGAAGGTATTTAGGTATTGTACTCCACGACACAATCCTGGTGTCTCCGAATGAGATTTTGACGCAATATAACATTGCCAAACCGCATCCATAGGCCCAATCGTCACACGACAGCTCGGTTTAGTCAATGGCGCGATGTAATTGCACACTCAAAAGGTGTACGCACGAGGCGAATGTTGGCTGGCGACCAACTTTATTGAAAGCGATTAGCTGAAAGTAGAATGCAAAGTTGAACAATACAAACGCCTTTTTATGGCGAATATTTTAATATTTTTTTATATTTTGATATTTTTAGTCATTCAAATTTTTTTTCGTGCAACCCGGCGGGAGTTGAACGCAAAAGTTGCCTGAAAAATCGCCTCGTGCGAAAGCCCCATTACGCCACTTCTCATTTGACGATGTAGATCACGTTCCCTATCTCAGTCGTTCAGTAGCTGCGTGCTCTGAGTTCGTCCGGCACCAATCGCCAACTGCGGCTGTGCAAGCCAGTGTTGAATATTTTCCCCAGAACATAAAAAGTGCGACATCAAAGAATTCGAAACAATCGAGCCATAACCGCGAAAGAAACGTAAGCTCCAAATTTTTTTATTTGCCGTTTTTTTGTTTAATAAATATTGCATATTTTCCGCAAACAAATAGCTTCTTCATGTCCATCAACTGGCAAACAAATACAACAAAAAAAAAGCTGAAAGTGGACCATCCATTCTCGAGTTATGCGCCATCTGACGTACGCAAGTTTGGTATAAACATAGAAATATTTATTTTTAATAACAATAGGGGGTTATATTCGATGTAAATAAGCTTGTTTAAATTAAATAATTAAATCAAATTCGTTTTTGTTTTAAAATACCACCATTCACTATTATCCACACGTTTTTATAGAATTTAGCTCCCATTTTAGGAAGTGTGATTGAATTCTTCCCCTTTTTCTTCTGCTTCCAAAAACCATCCCTGTGGGTGGGAGTGCCAAATTTTAGAAAAAAGCTACTTACAAAACCTTTAATAATTGAATCATGAGGATTGAGTACGTAGGAGAAGTACAAAAATATGAATTAAGAAACAATTGTGATTTTAGAATTAGGTATACGAGGCGATATATATAGCATTTAAGCAAAAATGTGTAGAATTTATTAGCAGTATAATACTAATAATAAATAATAATAATAAAAAATAATAATGCGCAGCACGATCGCAAACCTCAACTGCGACGCCACTCACCACCATCACAGACGGCACCCACCTCTGCAGCGCACACAACCAATGGCGACACGACCACATACATCTCTTACACCCCGCATTATCACACGTCTCCCGAACCACATGAAGCTCCTTCAATTTAACTGCAACGTGCTTCAGAGCAAGATCGAGGAGATAACCGTCTTTATGGGAAGGCATGGTGTACTGATAGCTGCGATCCAAGAGACGAAGTTGCACAGCAATTCAACATTGTTGAATTGTGCCGGGTACAACGTGCACCGTCGAGATCGCGAGCGAGATAATGGTGGTGGCTTAGCGTTCATCACGCACCACACCGTGTAGTATCGTCTTCTCGAAGCAGACATCGACCGCAGGGATACCACACTAGAATGTCAGAGCATTGCTATCCGGTAAGGCGATGTTGAGCTCGAAATATTCAACGTTTATATACCCCCCTGTCACCTGCTGCCCGGCAGGATATCAACCTGACATAGGTGCGCTCCTCAGAGGTGAAAACCGAATGGTAGTAGGTGACTTTAATGCGCACCACGATCTTTGGCACTCAAGCCTGTCAAACGATCGTAGGGGAACCGATCTGGCTGAGCAGATAGACGATTCGACATTCTGCACAATGAACGACGACGCACCCACCAGGATTATGGGCAGCTGCTGCAGCTCGCCAAACATAACAATAGTCAGCGCTGGTCTGATAAACAGCATATCATGGCGACCTATGCTGATCTTGGCATCAGATCATCTGCCCATAGTCATCTCGATCGATAAACCAACCGACTTTGCTTCCGCGGAGCATCGACAGCTGAAGGCCACCGATGCAGTGCTGCGAATTGCAATATATTTGTAGAACATTCATTATTGTGCAAATATGTTTATAACATAAAATAAAATAAATAAAATATTTAATATTAACTAACAGAAAGGAGAATTCCTTTTAGTAAGGGATATAATTCCTGAAGGCCGCCAACGTATAAATGTGTTCTGTGCAAAAGGTGTTGCCCCCAATTTCTTCAGCAACACAGAAAGGAGAATTCTACATAGTAAGGGTTACAATCCCTAAGTGCGGCCGAAGGCCGCCTAAGCAGAATTAACTTTTTCAATAGAAGCCTCTGGATCCGGGGGTCTTCGCCTTTTTGCACAAGAAATGTTATATACCCTTGGAGGTCCCGTCTTGTCAGGCAACACGGAAAGGCCCAAATCAGCAACTCTAAACATGCAAAACGCAAGTAAATATTGTGTTTTTTGACAATTTTTGTAAAGGCTCCCTAGAGACCTATAAGGCGTAATCATTTGGGAGTTACATTTTTTAAAACGGCAGTTCATGCCCTCCCTAAAATGGGGTGTGGGAGGAGCCACGACCCTACCGCTCCGCCCACCAGGCACAAAACGATCGGCCGTTAAGGAAGTTTTGATATATTTAATGTACAGATTTTACATACCTAATAAATTTCCTGTCAATGGTGATGTATTCGCCCCGCTGGTAGTACTTAAAAACTCCTTCAAAATATACAAAACTCGCCGCCCGCGGGTACTTCGCTTACAACGAGTGCTAAGCCGTTTAACCCTATTTAGTTGACTGGTTTGGAAGACAGACTCGACTAAGTTCACGATTAAACCGATTCTTTACCCGAACGCCTTAACGCTGAAAAAGTTGAGAGCAACTGCAGCCGATATTGCTCTAGGACAGAGGCACAAAAATCGACGGTAATTGATGGAACACTGGCGCAGGTACTTTGCACTTAACTATTGACACTTTTTTTAATATAGATATGTAGGTATACAACTCTTTTACACTTTTTTGGAATTGCTCATCGAATCCAGCGCTAACGTTTGCACTGCGCAAAAACTTAAATACTCATAACTGAATTTCCAACAAACAATAGAAAAAGTTTAGCCCTTTTAACGATACTCGTATTTGGCCAGCATAAAAAACAAAAGACCAAAGCAACTTCGACTCGCATTTATGTATATTTATACGCGTTTATATTTTAACTAATGACAAGCTGCTTTGTAGTCCGAATGTAATTTATTAATTTTTTATTTGTTAGGTTGATAAATGTTTTTGATCACTCTTGTAAAGCCTTTTTACACTTCCCTACGCCAGCACTTTCGTCTATGTACGTTCGAAAATTGCAATTTTTTTTAAACATTTCGTCAACTTCTATCTTTTGGCAAGGCTTGCGGTGGGTGCAAGCATTGCAGATATACTGCCTAGTGGGAAATAAATAATGCGAAAAAAAGAGAGCGCTATATATTTGTGTTGCGCTTTGTGCAGAATGACAGTTAAAAACACAGTACGAATGAAAATTAATTATGAGTCATCTGTTAGAGCTACCAAGTACCTGAATTATGGAAGCAACCATTCTGTCCGGAATTCGATATAAGCATGCCTATTCTAAAGGCTCTGTTATGCATACTTGGCATTGCATGCACTGCTATACCATTTTTACGTAGAAATCAAAAACCAACAGACTTCTACGTATGTAGGGCTGTGCGTTCGATAACCGATTAAGGCTCTGTTATGCATACTTGGCATTGCATGCACTGCTATACCATTTTTACGTAGAAATCAAAAACCAACAGACTTTTACGTATGTTATGCTGTGCGTTGGGTAACCGCTTACACGCGAAGCTCATTTAACAGATTCCTTATGTGACAACTCTCAAGCAATGCCAAGTATGCATAACGGAGCCTTTACACGCGAGGCTCATTTTACAGATTTCTTATGTGACAGCTCTCAAGCCATGCCAAGTATGCATAACGGAGCCATGAATTTCGATTACGTTCCAGCATTCCGCTACGCAACAATCTGTGTTACGGTCGAATCGAAAGAAGAAGAGGAAGACAGAAAACATCTGCGAAATCAACTCTTTGAATAGGAAACAAAACCAAAGAAATATTTTCCAACAAACTATAGCAGCACAGTATACTGTGGCCGTACTGCGATGAACATGATGTCGATGGGATATAAACATTTTTTTCGCAACTTTTCATACCCTTCCTCCCGTAAACGGGGTTTCCCTTTTTCTAGCCCGCGCTCGCACTTTCGCTACTGCGCGGGCAAAAAAGTGCCCATGTCTGATGTAGACGATTCCCGCCGCTCCTGCGACAAGGAACCAGAAGCCCTGCGGCATATCCTCTTAGAATGTGACACGGTGTCGAGAAGAAGGTAACACACTCCTGGGAAAGCTGTAGCCGGAGGCGTCAGACATTCACTCTCTACAGCCCTCGAAACTGCTTGATTGCATCAGAGCACTAGGGCTGGACAAGGTGTTGTGCGAGCTCTGAGGGCATAATAGACCTAAGGTCGCAGTGCACATTCCCTAACAAATATATCTATCTATCTATGTAATTATTTTCTGCCAATTTCCATATAAAATTAAAGAAATGCAAATCATTTTGAAATTCACTCGGAAGTGAATTACAGAACCTGCCCGATTGCTTGAGATTTAGCTGATTACGTTTTCGTCCCGTGCGAATGCCTTAGTTTTTTGTAATTATCTTAAAAACTAGTGGCCTTATTCATAAAAAATAAAGTAGGTTTAAAGAGCTTTATAAATTGAGGTTTTCATACATTTTTCAATTTATAAACCTTTTATACAGCTACTTTATTTATTATGAATAAGGCCATAAATATTTCCCCAAAATCCACTTCAGAACTAGTTATGGGGCTAATTAAGAGCTATAAGTAAAGCGTACTGTCAAAATAAAATAGGTTTTAGATTACGGTCGTAACTTTTAAAAATTCAAAATTCACTTTTTGATTGATGATAGATTTCATTGAAATAAAAAAAAATATTAGTCACGAATTTTTCCATTTCAGTGACCATGTTTGTTACGTCTTTTCAGGGGACGATAGGTATGTATGTGTTTTTAGTATGCTTTAAAATACAAATTTATGCATAATTGTATAGTCATACACACATATGTGTATGTATGTATATGCGTTAAAAATAAATGTATCCTTTAAAATAAACCAAAAAATATCTGAAGTTAAATTCAAACGTTTTTTTTTATAAAACGCGGTTATTTTAAATGATCGACACCTAAGAATGAAAGCTCGTTCCCACGGCAGTCGGGTCTACCTAACAAGAACGACCGAGATTAATATCTGCCCAATGGCTGTCACCACATCACCATTCCCTAAAAACCCTGTATTTGGAATTTGTATGCTGATACAACAAGAACAACAAAGCTCGAAGAGTCTAGGGTTATTATACTTTATTATTTTTTTACATTAGCAATAATTATTGGCACAATTAATTGTTACATATTTTATTTTTATTGTTACCAAAAAGAAATTAAATGTGCTTAAATGTTTACATAAACCCTTCGAAAATATATTGTGCCTGCGAACCGCCTGCCGGTTAGCCGGAGCTTGTGAAACTGCGCTAAATGTTTGAAATTTCGCATAATCCTGACGGGAAGTGAGGTAACTTTTTCTCAACTAACGAATGTATACATCGAAGTATTTCTAAAGGCTTCACATTTGCTAAAATGCTAAAATTTTATGTAAGAGAATTATAGCTAAGTATTGCAATTGAAACAAAAGATTTATTATTGTTTTTGTTTTATTTATGTCCTTCTTAGATTCATTATAATGCTTTTTATGTATTTCTATGCTTAACTTCAACTTCCTTTGTAACTAAAATCAAATTACTCCCGAATAGCTTTTGTATAATGGCTGACTGGTTTACATCCGTAACACATTTTTACAAAAGACTAATTACTTAAATCAAAAATAATCCAGCGAAAACAGCATATCAAAACAATGATAAGTTAAATTTTTATCCACAGTAGAATTAATGGAAACCAGCTCACAGTTGAAAAGAAAAACAACAAAAAGTTGTAAATATTCTTTAAAATCAAATCAAAGTGAATTATTTCGCCCAACCTTTGCTTAAATAAAAAAATTATAGTTTAAAAAACTAAAACCTCCCTATTATAATTGCCATTCGTACTGTCATCAGGTATGTAACTTGAGAATAGAAATCGTTGCATCTTTTAGGCGCACCAATATTACATAGTTACATCCCGAGCTAATAAAAGGTAAAAATTATAGTTTTTCAGGAATAATTTGAATTTTTAAATTGTGATATTCTAGGAAGGTACGCTAAATGTTCATTAAACGAAACTTATCAATGCGCTTGCTGACACATTCAGCCTTATCCTGAGTTTCGCTAAAAACGAAATCGATCCAAATTGTTTCATCCACTCGTAGTGAATACACATGAGCGAAAAGAGAAAAGTTAATAGTTGCGTTCCAGCAGCAGTACGAATAGCAGGAATTTACAGGATTTTACAGGAAGCTGTTCCCGCATGACACCTTACATAAGGTTTATTAATGGCGAAAACAGCTGTTCCTGTAAATCCTGTAAAATCCTGCAAAACCTGCTATTCGCAACTACTGCTGGAACGCAACTAATGATTTGGGGCGAAAATGAAACTCATGATAAGGCTGATTAATTTGAAAACTACTTTCTGGGGATATAAGAAAAATTCGCACAAACACTTTCACCTATGCATTCATTTAATTCACACATACACATCCAAGCGAACATTACCACGACCACGCCTACAAAGCACTGCACCAGCTGTTTCATGCATCGTTTGTTCCATAATTCGTACGAATAAAACAGCTGCGATATCTCTAGGTTTAGATGTGCAACAGTTGTTGGCGTTTCATTGTGTGTTGATGCTTCAATTGGTAAAAACCGTTTTTGTTGTTGTGGATGTGGCCGGTAGCTTACGTCTACATTGGATTCTCACGAGATAATACAATTACTCTTCTCCTGTGGATTGCCATTCTCGTTCTCAATTGATACTAATAACCGATGAAAGATGTCGGCAACAGACTGGAATTGGAAAGATATTAATGATTTTAGTTAAACTAACGGTTCATTATTTTACCTCATTCTGCTTAGCTGACGTTTCCAAAAATATTGCCCGCCAAGATTCAGCCAGTTTTCGTCCCTCTTCCGTTGTCACTGTGCGCTCCTGGTGTAAATCGGTTTTGTTGCCAACTAATACAACAGGTACACTATGCAAAAATGTGTTTAGTAAAAATATTTTAAGTACTTATTGAATATACTATCTAATAAGTTGATTTTTTTTATTGCTTTGCTTACTATTTTTTCCCCATTACATCCAATAACTTTTCGTAGATGATTTTAATGACTTCAAACGACTTTTGGCTGGTTATGGAATAGACAAGCACATAGCCGTGAAAGTCCATGCTATATTGCACAGGGAATATACTGTACTCATCCTGACCAGCTGTGTCGACCACTTTTACGTCGTAGTCCTGCGAATTGACGCGCGCAACTTTTGTAAATGCTGAAAATTAAAACCAAATTTTTAATACACCGGAACACTCTAATACTTATCCATAGATTCTTAAATATGGGTGGAAATCATTCTAATTACTAATTTTTATTTTTATTTGACTTGCTCTGTATGTATGTTTGTTTGTTTGTTAGGGGCAAATCAATTTTTAAACTACTTCCGGATGACCTAGAGACTTCACAGTTGGCTAAGAACCCGATGACACTGCAATAGGAAAGATGACTTAATCCGATAGTTGGCGCAGAAGTCGAGATAGTTGAAAACTCCGTATTTGTAATCCGATTTGGTTCAGATTTAGAGCGTTGCCCATAGATGGTGCAACATCGAGATATTCGGTAAACCAGTATTTATGGTCCAATTTCGTTCATATTTAGGAAGCTTTTTTTCAAAAATATTTTTTTTTACTATTAACTTATTTGCGACTATTTAAGAAGCCTTGCAGAATATAATAATAACATCTCAAGGACTTTAAATACCGATTTTTCGCTTCCTAGAAGTTTTATTAAGTCATCCCTCGGAACTTATTTTTCATAATTTTATCCACTCTACATTTTATTAATTTTGTGATACTACTTAGCCTAATTTCTAGTGTGTAATACTGTATACGGCCGCTGTGGTGTAGTGGTAAGCAGTGCGCGCTTTCAAACATCAGCCCCTGGGTTCAAGCCCTGGTCAAAGCAACATCCCAAAAAATATAGAAAAAGGTTTTTTTCTTAACAGCGGTCGTCCCTCGGCAGACAATGGCAAACCTCCGAGTGTATTTCTGCCATGAAAAACAGCTTCTCATAAAAATACAATCGCCGTTCGGAGTCGGCGTAAAACCGTAGGTCCCTCCGCTTTGATGAATATGAATAACCGTGGATATAACAGGTGCGGGTTTTTATTGACCCGACACTTGGCTTAATATTACAAAAGGCAGACGGCACACTGGCCGAGAAGCTAGTAATCTCAGCCTGTGTCACAATAAAACTTAAAAACGCTTTGAAAGGCTTTATAGTTTCATACGGCCAAGCTGTCATCAGGGCCTTGCCCAAAAGGATGATCGCATCCAGGCTCGTCAAGGAGTGTTTAGTTATTCGTCTAATAAAAATTGGTCGGTTTGCGGTTCGGATCAATTAATTAGTACAAACAAGTAATTTTTAAGCAAAAAACAAAACCATATAATAATTGTAGATTATCGTTAATTTCTTCATCATCCGATGATCGGATTTAAACCAAATTAATATTGGACCACCTGTGAGGTAACACCTTTCTTAAAAAAAAATAATTATAGAAATCGGTTAATGTGGTCCAAAGTTATGCGGTAACATACATAAAAAAAAAAAAATAAAAAATTAAACGAATTGAAAACTTTTCTCCTTCTTAAGTCGGTTAAAAAAAAATCGGTTAATCCGGTTTAAAATCGGTTCGCTTCCCTGAAATTTGTATATGGCACACATTCAATAGGGTGTGGTCGCGCGACTATAAATTTATGTACATACATCGACCGCACCACATCGATGTGTTCATACAAGAATTTTGTGAATTCGAGGTAATAACATTCGCTGCCACCGAAACCATTACATACGTGGCAAAAGGAGATTTGGTAGAGGTACATATCTCCTATTAACTTCAATAGTGTCATAACTCAAATAACCAAACTTTTGAAAAACGTATTTAAAGTTTTGTATTTTGTATACCGACACCTGAGTTGAAGATCGACCTATCTCGGCAGCTAGATCGAAAACGCCGTATCTCAGAAATCTTTTTAAGAACTCTCTACCTCAGAATTCAATTCAAAAACGTCCTATCTCAGCTGCCGATTTAAAAACGCCCTATCTGATATAGGGCGTTCTTCAACCAAATTCTGAGATAGGGCATTTTTCAATGAAATTCTAAAATAGGGCGTTCTTCGACCAAATTCTGAGATAGCGTGTTTTTCAATAAAATTCTAAATCAAATTCTGAAGTAGGGCGTTCTTAAAAAGTTTACTGAGATAAGACGTTTTCGAGCTGGCTGCCAAGATACGTAGGTCGATCTTCTACTCAAGTGTCGATATCCAAAATTTCCCTCCCCACTTTCCCACTACCAATTCACAACAGAGCAGTTTTTCCACTTAACAACACTATCCTTCAGGTCGCGTATTTTTTAACCGACCTGGCTGAACTCGGATAAATAGCCGAGTTTGTGTTGTTGCTTTGCGTGTATTTCGTCATTTAAGCGAGTGTTGTTTTGTAGCTCGGTTGCAAAAGAATGCACCATTAGGCTATTAAGCCGTCATCGATTCGCTACTTCTCGCTCGCTATGTTTGAGTTCCGGTCGCTTAAAGAAGAATTTTGCATGTGAAAGCAACTACAAAGTTAGCTCTCACAGACAGGCCCTGAACGGCATTCACAGGGACGCAGTCTCGAGTTATGTAGACTCAAGACCTGTGAATGCCGTTCCAGGCACACAAACACCGGACATTGACGCGACGGAGCTCCATCTGCCTCGGGAGACCAGAACAAGAATAGCCCAACTTCGCTCTGGCTACTGCAGCAGGCTAAATTCCTACCTGAGTAGGTTAAATGCGGATGTGCCAAACGAGTGTCCGCAAAATCAAGTTTTTGGGTTGCGATAGTTTTTTTTTTTAGTAATGAGCGATATATTCTTATGTATGTACATTAAGGATGTTTCGAATGTCATATTTTTCATATTCGCGAATGGGAATTTTCGGAATGCGATTGTGCGAATGCGAATGTTAGGAATAATATTAAAAAAGCTATAATAAACTTAAGTCATCGTTTTTATTACTTAAAAATTTTGTAAATGAGTATTAGAACACTGATCGAGTGCTAGGTTACGCACAGTGATTAAGTCTAGAGGTCAAAGTTCAAAAGGGGCATATGATATTTTAAAATAATGTAATTTTGCTGCCTTTTCCCCCCTGAGCCGATTTCTTATAGGCTCGTATATAAGGCCGGCTCCACTGAACAATTGCTCACTTGGAACCAGAGCTGGGTCGTAATGATTCCTTTAGGAATTAAATTACTCCCAAATACAAATTACAAGGAATTGTAATTAGGAATCAATTCCTTCAGTCCACAGCAAAGGAATCGATTACTTTCTCAATTCCTTGAAGTAATTTCAAATGTAATTGTTTTTTTTTTTCATTCCATTTACAAGGAATTTCATATTGTAATTGGAATAAATTACTTTCTAGTAATGTAATTTTTTTTTTCCAATTCCTTTGAAAGGAATTGAAAATGTAATTGATTTTTTTTTATTCCATTACCTGGAATTGCAAGAGTACTTTAGTTTTTTCAATTACTCAAAGGAATTGTAAAATTAATCGAGAAACTGAAAGTTCATTCACGAATGTACAATGTGGAATTTTTGTTGTGGTCAAAGATTAAAATCGAAAGCACACATTGGACATCTTCTATGTATGTCTTATATATATATATATATATAAATGTTGTGTTCGTTGTCACGGTCATCAAAACTCGAGAACGGTTGAAACGATTTTAATATATTTTTTTTTTTATTATTCGGTATAATAGTTGCGTTCCTTATCTCCCAGAAGTAGTCAGAAAAAGTTAGATTTAGTCCAAAAAGCGTTCCTTAACTCGAAAATGACAGCAAAAATGAGAGAGCAAGACTCAGTGAGAGTGACTCTCTTCAGTCCGAAGTAGTCAGATTTAGTCAGAAGAATTTTTTCTGGCAAAATCCTGAAAAGTGTCAAACTCAACTGAATTTAAATTAACGGAAATTAAAAAATACGCAAAGAGTGAGAATAATCTAAAAAGTAAAAAAAGGTTTAATGAAAGTGCTTATTGTGCTTGTGCTTGTGTGAATGTGTTTTGTACAAACATTTCCATTCTTATTTGATGTTAGTTTTGTTGTTGCCATTCTTTGCACTAAAAATTTGGATTTTTGCCTTCCTTTACTTTTCCTGTTATTCTCTTTTAGTGAGCGCATTTTGCTTACGCTCTGGCATTTTGACACTATTCAGATTTTAGTCCAAAAAGACAAGGAATGAATCTAATACCAGAACCAATGACATCGCAAAAATTTGAAGGGTTGCCACCTATTTTAAAAATTTTAAACCCAATTATATTGATAAAATTAATGAATTGTTACAATATGGGTATCAAGTTAAAGAGCGTAAAATTCATATCTCAATTCGCCTTGGTAGAGAAGTTTTACAGAAACGAGCTACATATCTGTCAATTTGTCGTATTTTGGTTTAGTTTTCCACCAGACGAGAGGATTTCCACCGAGATGCGTTCGTTTTTCTTTAATGGCCCTCTTATGTATGGCAACTGGGGTCTAGTTGCTGGTCTAGTAGCCATGGCTACCAGTATTATGTATAGCGATTAATCTCAATATACAGAAAAGCGCAGAAAACATCCGAATATACTTTTTTGACAAGAATTTTTCCCAAGTAATTGGCAACTTTGCTCCAATGTGTTGAACAATTTATGTTAACAAACCATGTTATTTTTAAATGCGCACATTTTGATGAAGTAAAGGAACCCTTATGTCCTCTTTAAAAAATTCAATTATTTAAACTGCCTATTAGGAAGTAAAGATACAAAATATTTGGAAGCATAAATTAACTTTATGCACTAAGTACAAATAGACAGAAAGTTTTAGCAGGAAACTATATTTTTAAAACACAAACAGTCAAAAAAAACATGCTAAGGAAAAAAGAAACAAAAAATAAATAAATAAAAATAAAAGACCTGTAAATATGTAGGGAAAAGTAGATGTACTGTAGATTATATAAACAAACTATCTTAAAATTTAGATTTTTGACTTCAAATGTACTTAAATGTAGTCATGCATGCTATCTATATGTAAAAAAAATACTGAGTTCACCAACTTTATATACCTCGAAGGTGTAAAGCAAAATATAATATTTCCTTCTCTAACGGCGGCTTAAATCGAGGTTTTGTCAAGATTGTTGCACCAAACGAAAGACAAACACACTGATCCTTTTAAAAACCATTTAACCAAAATTTAATCATTCAATGCGATATAGAAATCTGGTACAAAATGGTTCCCAATTGAATGATTCTTGTTATTTTATATTATATGTAAATAGATGAAGGTGTATCAAATTCCATCACCTCCGAGTAAGTGGTTCCAGATAAAAGCGGTATGTAAATTGCGTTTTGTATAGGAGATGCCTCATCCCCCTTTCGAACACACTCCACTTTTCGCAATAAGTTCTGTAATGATAACATATATGCAGCTGTGTCAAATTTCAGCGCGTTAGCATAAGCGGTTACACATGTACCTGCAGGTAAGCGATATGAGAAGTTCAGTTTGAATGGGAGTTCCTCGCTACCTTTTTAAATTCCTGCCACTTTCCATCATAAGTACATTATTAATATCATAAATACCTACTTAGCTGTGACGAATTTCGGGACGTTTGCATAAGCGGGTCCAGAGAAAAGCGATATGAGAACTTCAGTTTGTATGGAAAGTGTCACGCCCCCTCTTCCAAAATTCACATCTTTTCGCCGAAAGTACGTTACTAATAACATATCGCACAACGTCTTCAAAAGTCACAACTCAAAATTTTGCATTTTTGAGATTATGCGCTAAAAATGTACACCGAGCTTTTATTTACCTTTGAACAAAAGCTGAAGCAAATCTTTGTTATAATTTGATTAAAAAAAACCTAAGGTAAAGTCGCCCTTGCCCATATGATTATCATGTGCTAAGAAATAGTTTTTCGCATTTTCTGACTAATGTATTATTTTGAGTTGTGACTCTTTTGAAGACGGTGTGCGATATGTTGCTGTGTCGAATTTCAGGACGTTAGCATAAGCAGTTCCAGAGATAGGCGATATGAAAATTTCAGTTTGTATTGCCAGTGCCAAGTCCCCCATTCCATTACCTACCACTTTTCGCCGTAAGTACGGTATTGATAACGTCTGATGCTGTGGCAAATTTCAGGACGTTAACATAAGCGGTTTCAGAGATAAATGATATGAGAATTTCAGTTTATATGGGCGATGACCCCCCCCCTTTCCAAAATTCTGCCACTTTTAGCCGTAACTACGGTATTGATAGCGTATGATGCTGTGGCAAATTTCATGACGCTAACATAAGCGGTTCCTGAGATAAATTATGTAAGAGTTTCAGTTTATAGCAGACGGGCTATGCCCCCTTTTCCAAAATCCGGCACTTTTCGCCGTAAGTGCGGTATTGATAACATATGATGCGATGTAAGAATTTCAGTTTGGGGTTCGCCATAAAAAGGGTATTTCCAATTTATGCATCCTTGTCAAGTTTCAGTTCCACAGCGTAATTTTCTTTAGAGATATATAGCTTTTCACATTTTAGCCTGTATGTCAGATGCCACGCCCCCTACGTAACGGGAATACCATTTCTAACTTAGGAAAAGTTATATGCTTTAAATCGGTATATGTTTTATTGAAATCGAGCGAACGGTGCCCTAAAAAAAAACAGTTAAATTTTTTTGTGGCGTATTTATATATAGATTAGAGAAGACTCTCTCCCATGTAAACGCTGGCAATCGCAAACATTCGTATCATTTGATGCGAATACGAATATCGACAACCATAATAGGGCCGATTAATCACAAAACTGCGTAATATGTTTTTGTATGCGGACTTTGAGAAATTCTCGCTTGAAAGTAAAACGGCCACTGGCGGAGAAATTCTGAAATGGTCTCTCATGACTCATGAGTGATCATACATGCTTGGCAAACATAATCAACATTATATGTAGGAATCATGTTTACCAAAAACCCCGAAATTCACAAAACCGATGAAGTCATTTAAATGCGTATGTACACCTAATTGTCATCGGTACTATGTGACTTGGTATATCAGGTATATCACTAGTTATTAGAGCTAATCGTATTTTAGCGTTAGCGCGCCTATTTCATTTACACATTGTTGAGGTTAGTAGTACTAGCGATAACACTAGAAATTTAATAAAAAGAGATTTGCATAGTAAGACGCGTTTAATAGCAAATAACATATGTATATATGTATACACATACCTATATGTATACGTTTACTTTTAGTACCAACTTATTTGTCCACTCAACTCTAACCTTTTAATTATTTACTAGCTTATTCATACTTACTATTTTCAATTGTTGGATCGTACGAGTCCACAAACTGACCCTCAACAAATTGTATACATAGTGATGATTTGCCTTCAATAACAACCAAAAAGAAAAACATATTAGACATCGATTATTAGCACAAAATACAACGTGAAAATCAAGTACAATTAAAGATTATATATGAAATCTACAAGTATGAATTAAAACCCCACAGTTTGCAAAGGCGATGTATGTACATAGATGGGCAATTTGACTCCAAGAGTGTACACATATCGTGCAGATTTCGATAATTTATTTAAGGACGTACATGCAGATCATGATTCAATAATAATTATTATTATTGAATCATGCATGCAGATGTACTAAAATTTATGTAATTTTATTTATCATTTTTATTTTATATATTAAAGCTATTTGCAAAATTTGGCAGTGTGTGACCCTGACGTCCTACCAACAGAGCTGTAGCCCATCATGGCGATATTGCGTTCCTTGAGTGGCATTTTGATGATTATAGTTGTAGTTTTCCTAAAACTTAAACCAAATTACGTGTTTATTTATTTATTTGATTAAAGAAAGAGACTCTTTTCCATTAATTGCGTTCTTATAAATTCATTACTTCACCCATGAACTTCTCCAAAAAAATTACAACTACGGTTGTGCACAATTTTCTTTTGTATTCTGCTTTATCACGATTTCTTGCAAGGCGCTTCCCATTCAGCTGTTTCGCAGGTGTTTTTATAGTGATCCTTATCATTCGCTTATAATTTAGCGACAACTTCACAGCTGAGCAGGTTTTGCTTCTCATTCTTGTCCTTATCAAATATTTGTTCAAAACGTACTGTACTATAAAGGTACACTTACACTTCGGTTGAAGAATTACAAAGAACGTAATTGTATAAGAAGCGACAAAGAACGTAAATGTATAAGAAGCGACGAAGAACGTAGTGTTGCAAATTATCATTAGTGCGGCAGTAATGCCGCTTTTATTACGTGCCTCGAACAGACCCGATGACAAGTTTGGTTGTTTATACGGAATTTACATGAGGTGATTTTTAGTTGAAAGCAACAATCGCCTGGTGTAATCGGCCTTTCAACTAATCGCTTTCAATGAAGTTGGTCGGCTGCCTACTTTCTTTCAACTTTTGGTTTAACTAATCGCCTGCGAAAGTTGAATCATGTAAATTGCCTATTATTTTTCAATTTGATGGGGTTTTCTTCAGATTTTGGTTGGTTATTTTTTTAACAAGTGGCAACTGTGATTCGTGCCCGATTCATCAGTCCATTAATATGGATTACGATCCAGAGGAGTAATTAATAATTATGCACCTAAAAAACAAATACACCCTACTAATGGGCGCCAAGCGAAAAAATCATATGTTTATACTTTAGATATCTTTATCGAGCAATTTCTTTTCGTATCCTAGTACGTTCTTATTAGACCCGTTTGCCATGTCTGTTCGCAAGATATTCAGTTCTTATTAGACGATTCACACTTTGAAAACAACAACACAAAATTTTACTATCTAAATTTTTTTTTTACTCCCGCGTAGGTAAATGTGGGCGAGGTATGCGCGGAAAGCCTTCACTGAGCGGAATATCCTAGATAGGAAACATAATAATAGCTTTCATGCTTTATTGACGATATTAAAAGTTGCACAATTTTCGTGAATTTAAGGGGTACGAATGCGTACATACATACATATGTAGCTATTAACAACAACAAAAAGCAGAAAAATTAAGATAAAGAGGTGGGAAGAATTGGGTGGTTTGAAGTTGGCAGCGCAACGATCGACCGGGTGTTAGTGGAAGTGGCGAGTTTACTCTGCCCCATTTTAGAAAGAATTTTGGCAGCGTTAGCAAAATTTTGTGTGTAGCAGGTAAGTTAAAAAAAAGTAAATTTTAAAAATGTAAACTAAAAAACTTTACAGCGCAGCTGAATGAGAATTTTAAACGTACTGTGGATTCTGCTGAAAATGCTCTACCAACTGCTTTGGTGTCTGGCGCGCCTACTCTCAGTGCTCTTTAATGTTTTCTGGTTCGCCTGTAATCTCGCTTCAGCGTGTATTCCATGGTTGACATTAGTATTGCTGGTCGCTTGTGTGGCTTCCAAATTTGCAAAGTTGCGAAGCCCCAATGAAAAACGCTTATTTAGTTTGCTGGGCGGTTGTGCACCGGAAGAACTAACATATTGGCCCATAGCTAATCGTGGTGCTGGCTATGATGCGCCCGAAAACTCTAGAGCAGCAATAAAGAAGGTAATTTCTATAATCAAAATGTGACGTCATATCATAAGAGTCTTGAAAAATCAATACTTGCCGGCTTTTGTCCTTTGTTAAACATGCGTACGGATATTCAAATATGTTTGTGTTTCAGTGTGCTGCACGTGGCTATAGAAATGTGCTGCTGGAAGCCGGGTTAACTGCGGACGGGGAGATAGTGATCGTAAATCGACCTACGCTGGAACGTGGCGGCTTAATGGGTGGAACTGCGCGGTATACGCTGGAGGAATTGCGCAAACTGAATATAACTGAGCTGCATCCATTAGGGTAAAAAAGCTTACATACCGCACACGATCTTCAAAAGTGATACAACTCAAAATTTGGCATTTTTAAAATAATGCACTAAAAATGTACACAGAGCTTGTATTTACCTTTGAGCAAAAGCTGGAGAAAATTTTTGTTATAATTTGTTGAAAAACCTAAGGTAGTCTCCCTTGCCCATATGATTAGCATGTGCTACGAATAGTTTTTTGCAATTTCTGACTAACGTGTAATTTTGAGTTGTGTCACTTTTGAAGCTCTTATGCGATATATTAAATTTAATCGTTTAACTAAAACATCAAGCACAAACCTTCAATCAAAGGAACCAGACAAAGATAACAATAATATAAAAATAACTTATAAAAAAGCACTGGTACCATTCCCCGAACATACAACATAACTCAACCAAAAAAAAATTACTCATGCGAAAAACAGAAAGATATGTACATCACATACAGAGGACACTAAACCACAAACACAACATTCATTACTTCAATTACAAACCCATACGTATTTACTTTCATCAAATATATCCCAGTAGCGAAAATGGTTTACTGGTGACGTCACTAATGACGATTTAGTGATATCCTCGCACTTGCTGTGAATCCTAAACGACATATAGCTGACAACGACTTTGGTGAAAATGCCATGCAGGTGTACTCCTATCAAATACTTATAACAGGCAATGACTTGCCGCGGTCACTTATAAAAATTCATTGCAGGACATTGTCGCTTGAATGTCATCAATGATCACTGCATGACAAAGTCATCAGGCCATCAACGACTAAATTACCATTTGTATGAAAAAGTCATGAACGGAGCCCAAAGGCATTGAAGACTTAACATGGCCGTACAAGACACTAAAGTGACTAACGCATGAAACTCGCTATGGGGATACTCATCTCCCACCACAACTACTACAAACAAAAACTCAAATACAGCATCATCAATTGACTACAATAATAACAATGAAACAAACCACTCGACAGAAACTCATAGAGATGTATCCCCCTTAACATGTCTTAGTACAGAGAGTAACTATTATATTCCTACATAAACAAACGACACAGAACACTTAGATTCCTAATAAGAAACAATCAAAATCTCCACTTAATCTTTGTATGTAATATTAAAGTGGAGTATACAAGGATTTATCAACAACAAACTTTATTGGAATGGAACATGGAATTATTGGTTTCCAGACATAAGCCGGACATCATAATGCTACAAGAAACTTACATTATTCAAAAAAACATACACTTAAATCTCCCACATTACAAAGTTTTTCATCATATCATATGCTAAATCAGGAGTAGCCTTTTACTTTACACTTTAAGTGTATCTAACCACAAAGTTTCCAACAACAATGTACTGGACCATTCCTTAACCATGCAGGGACTGACTGATCTGCATTTAACTAGAATATATAAAACAAGTAAGAAAGTCTAAGTTCGGGCGGAGCCGAACATTAAATACCCGGCGCAAGTATCCCTACATGGTAAGCCGGGGTGCATCAATTTTGAGTAAATTAGCGTCCTTAAATTTCGAAATATGAAGTTTCAAGCATTTCTGAAATTTACCGTTATATGAAAATCGGCCGTAATTTTTGTCCGCTTTCAATAATTTTCAACGTCTTGCTTTTATGTGGCAAGCACAATAACCATACCGAGTTTGGTACAAATTGGTAGAACGGTTACCGAGATACATATATGTGATCAAAATTCCAAAATTTTATCAGTAACGTATTCTTGGCGTGATTATTGTCTGATTTTAAAAATTTTCGGCCTTTTGGTATGTTGTTCCAAGGCCAACAAACGTGCCAAGTTTGGAAGAAATTAATGCAGCAGTTACCAAGATATACACATGTAACCATAAGTGGGCGTGGCTACGCCCATTTTCCAAAAATTTATAATATTCTTATTTTTCGTCTAAATATTATTGTAAATATCAATTTTGAGTGAATAATCTTCAGAAGTTACTAAAATATCGCAGTTTTCTTATTTCTAAAGATTACTGTTATATGGAAGGTAGGCGTGGTTATTGCCCGATTTTGCCCATTTTCAATACCATCCGTCCTACACCTGACAGAAGTGCACGTACCAAGTTTCGTTAAGATATATAAATTTTTACTCGAGTTATCGTGTGCACAGACGGACGGACGGAGAGACAGTCACCGCTTAATGGATATATCTTTTCATTCTGATAATTTATGTATACATTTGTCTATATCTATCTCGATTCGTTTTGCCTCCTAATCTCCTAAAAATCTTTTGCACCTGAAAGAAAGGACCACACATAGAAACAACAATATCCATCTGTAGAGTTATTCTTCTTCTTTTTCTTTGGCGCTGTAACCGCCTTTTTGACCGAGTTCAACAAAGCACGCCAGTCGATTCTCTTCTGTGCCAGCTGACGACAACTGGAAATGCCAATTGAAGCCAAGTCATTCTCCACCTGGTCTTTCCATCACAGTGCGGGCCTCCCTCTTCATCTGCTACCACCAGCGGGTTCCGAGTTGAATACTTTCAAAACTGGAGTGTCGGTGTTCGACATGGCCAAGCCAGCGGAGCCGCTGTAATTTAATTCGTTGCCCTATGTACATGTCGCTGTAAAGCTTATACAGCTTATCGTTCCATCGTCTGCGGTACTCGCCGTCGCCAACCCCTAAAAGCCCGTAAATCTTCCGCAAAATCTCTCCCTAGAATGCTCCAAGAGCCGCCTCATTGGATTTTCGATGCTTCTGCGCCATATACCAGCACGGGCTTAATGAGTGAGGTTTTCGTTTACTGCTGAATTGTCTACTCAGTCCAAAGTATTTAGCCCAAAATTATAACCAAAGTAGCTTTTGTTGGCAGGAGTAGTTCTGCGTTGGATTTTCATGCTGACATTATTATCGGTGTTAATTCTGGTTCCCAAGTAATCGAAATTCTCCACTTTCTCGAAATTATAACTGTCAACAGTGACGTGGGTGCCAAGGCGTTAATGTGCTGACTGTTTCTTTGATGACAGGAGATATTTCGTCTTGTCCTCGTTTAGCACCAGACCCATTCCCTTTGCTTCCTTACCCAACTTGGAAAAGGCAGAACAGGCTTCGCGCTTTTTGTTACCGATGATGTCGATGTCATCGGCATAAGCCACCAATTGCACCCTCTTGTAGTAAATTGTTCCTGGGCGGTTCAGTTCTGCAGCTCATATTATCTTCTCTAACATCAGATTAAAGAAGTCACATGAAGGGGAGTCGCCCTGCCTGAAACCCCGTTTGGTGGCGAACGGCTCGGAGGTTTTTCCCAATTCTGACGGAGCTGTTGGTATTGCTCAACGTTATTTTACACAGCCGTGTCAGGATGCCAAATTAAGACATAGCGGCGTATAGGCAACTCCTTTTAGTGCTGCAGAAAGCGGCTTTAAAGTCGACAAATAGGCGATGAGGTTCGATTCTTTTCTCGCGAGTCTTTTCCAAGATTTGGCGTATTGTGAATACCTGGTCTATGGTGGATTTGCCAGTCCTCATTGACGTTGGGCTTCAGTCTTTCACGCAATACGCTAGATAAGACCTTGTAACCTATGCTTAGAAGGCTGATCCCGCGGTAGTTGGCGCGAATGGCGGGGTCGCCTTTCTTGTGGATTGGGCAGAGTACACTTAAATTCCATTCGTCGGGCATGCATTCATCTGACCATATTCTGCATAAGAGTTGATGCATGCACCTTATCAACTTACCCCACCATACTTGAACAGCTCAGCTGGCAGGCTGTCAGCTCCAGCAGCATTGTTGTTTTTCAGACGCGTTATTGCTATTCGTGCCTCGTCATAGTCAGGCGGAGGAACATCGACTAGGTTATCATTGACTGAGGGCTCGGGTTCTTCTCCACAACTTTCCGTGCTGCTACCATACAGAAGGGTGGAAAAGTGGTCCCTCCGTAATTTATGTACGTTCTGAACAATTGTAACTAGGTCGCCATTGTTGTTCTTACAGGAGTACGCCCTGGTCTTGAAACCTTCCGTAAGTCGCCTAACTCTCTGGTAAAATTTTCGGGCATTCTTCCCGGCATCTCTCTTCTTATTGCGGCAAATGCGTTTCGCTTCCCTCTTCAGATCCCTATAGTGGTCCCACATAGTACGCGTTGCGTCCGATCGCAGCTTGGCCCTGTATGCGGCATCTTTTTTCTCGGCAGCTTCCTGACACTCCTCATCGTACCAGTTGTTCTTTCGGGCTCGCTGAAATCCGACTACTTCTTCGACGGCGGTACTTAATGAGCAGGTGTGAGAGTCGAGTAGCGAATCCATTGGCTGTCTGTTGTAACTGCAACTTTTCGACGTTAAGCTTTCCTTGCATATTTGGGTGATCAGTACTCCGCGACGGAGTCTCTCTCCCACCACAAATCCAATACCGAATTCGCGCTCCTTTACATGGCAGCTGTAGTATACGTCGCCAGGCCCCACACATTGCTTGCCTTGCGCCATCCAACGCATTTCTTGGATGGCGGTGATATCGCCTTTTGTTCTTACGAGGACATCAACAGCCGGGCAGAGGCACAAAGCATGCCTTCAAATGGTCGTCATCATAAGGGGGTCTCATTCGAGGCTTTACTTCGCTTCTCCGCTGGAAGGGGTTTTTAAGTGGCTGTCCCAAACCCAGCGCACAACCCATTGCTACGACGGGGTGGTTTCGCAACCAAATACAGGTTTACATAGCGATCCGCTTGGTCCAAGACAGACACCCGCTTGCAGCCGCACCTACTGGTGAACAGACACTGCAGGCTTCGCTGAGCCTTTAAACCGAATAAGTCGGAGTGGCCCCACCGAAGCTCTTGTTGTTGTTGTAGCAGCATACAAATTCCCCAAAGACTTTTTGGGGGGTGTTGCTGGAGTAACAGTCCTTGGCCAGATATAAATCTGGGTCGTTCCGGTTACGTAGACCCGACTGACGTGGGAACGCCACCGAAGCTCTCTTTCTTTCTGCCGTGACCCAAGGCTCTACTCGGATTGGTTACCACATCTCGCACATGGGTTGCTCACATTGCCCAGAGTGCGCAAACATGGCCGCAAGAGTCGGGATTGAGTACAGCTGTGCAACTGTTACTGCATACCCAGCACAACGACTATACCCCATCGAACTATTACGGAGGGCATAATTCAACATGGGCTGACTATATACGGGTAGACTTCCGAAAAAAACAAAAGCAAAATCAACGCTGCCTTGAACAGATGCTTCTGGACAGCGTCAGGACTACTCCCTGGTACACCCCTGGAGGCCTTCAGGATAGAAGCGCGTTATCACGAGTTTGACTGGATATTGCAACGTAGGTCTGTCAACCTTGCCGCAAAAGCTCTAACGTTGAAAAATCACTCTCTGCACGAAATATTTTGAAGTTTAATTAGCAACACAAATACTTAAAGAGGAATCAGGACTAGTGCTGTAGAAAACATTATAAGGCTCCTAACAGAAAATAAAGCACCAATACCAGTTAAACCAAAAGGCAGCAGCAATGTATTAGAAAGTCTATTGAAATTTAAAAAGAGCAATACTACCGGAGCAATGTACAAGCAATAAATAGTGAACTATGGTTCTCAGTAAAGGGGTATAACTACATACGCTGTAGTGGAACAAACGGCAACGAACTCGTTCAAAACCTTCATTCAAGCGCTGTTATCGCCGCACTCTGTATTGTGCGCAATACAGCAAGCTATCAAACACGCAGCATCAACAAATATCAACGCTTTAATATGTTCCGATAGCTTAAGCGTTGCTAAACATCTTGCATCTACCAAAAACAGCAATTTAATTCAGCATGTACTTAAAGACCAAGGCCCTATAACAAAACTATTGTGGCTGCCAGGACATGTCGGAATAAAAGCAAACGACATGGCTGACAGCAAAGCCGCTGAGGCTTTGTCGCTTCCATTAACAACAAAAGTTCCCTGCCTAAGTTCTATTATAACCAACTTTTGCTCCAACATTCAAGAAGACAACCAAAAGAAATGGAAGGAGTCAAAATAATTTCTGCGAATGCACAACGAACTCTCGAAACGTCGCAACTATTGTAAAAACTTAACTCGTGAAGAATGCATAAAAGCGCATTTAGTCAATGACGTAGCGTAAACGTAGGTTGACATACGTAGCAGCATACCAAATTTACTGTTGATAGAGAGAGAGAAGCAACGTCACCGCCATTCGGTGGTGAGTTTTCGTTACCACGCGAATCCCATAATGTAGATCGTGTCTGCGTCAACCTACGTCTACGCTACGTCGTTGACTGTTTGAGCTTTTAAAATTGCTAGAATGAGGGCAAATGCCACTATCTTCGATGCCGCACACTATTACAACGTAAACAACACGAAGAAGTGTTCTAACTGGCGCACCACATTAACGGTGCAACATATCGCACACCGTCTTCAAAAGAGTCACAACTCAAAATTTGGCATTTTTGAAATTATGCGCTAAAAATGTACAGAGCTTTTATTCACCTTTCAGCAAAAGCTGGAGCAAATGTCTTCTATAATTTGTTAAAAAAAAAACCTAAGGTAAAGTGGCCATTTCCCATAGATTAGCATGTGCTACGAAATAGTTTTTCGCATTTTCTGACGAACGTACTATTTTGAGTTGTGACTCTTTTGAAGACGGTGTACGATATGCTGCAACAATGTCCAACATCGAAAGTAACCGGACCAATACTACGAAGTATAACAAATAAGAGTTACAAAGATGGTCTTTGAAACCAGGTCCCCTATATTTTAAATAGCTTATAAATTAATTTACAAGTTTTAGAAAAATAAATAAATAAAAAATTAACAATCGTTTAACTTCACATACATATCTATTTTTCCTTCCCTTCAGCTCACAGTTTGAGGCTGAACAAATACTCACGCTTGCACAGTTAATGCAATTCTTGGAGGAGCAACAAAGGATAACCGTATTCTTGCACATTCTGGATAATAACGTACGAATGCTAGAAAGGTTGAAAGCTGCAATAGAGGCCAATGCACAATTTACCTCTCGTATGATACTCATCAGTCGCTCCCCCTACGCTATTTATCAGGTATTGATTTTGATGTACATAGTTAACTCTTGCTATCGAGGGTTTATATTCAATATGACCTAAATGCAGTGTTTACAACATTAAGATTCCTATATAAGAATCGACCTTTGACTTAACTGTCATCGATAAGGCTAATGTTGACCTTGTATATCGCTTGTTAGAAAAATTTAGTATTGAATTTCAAAATTAAAATTGCAACCAGTGATGACAGTTAAGTCTCCGATGGGTTCTAACCATGGATTCGTATTGAATATAAGCCCTTGATTTTATGTTTTATTTAAACGTTAAGCTAATATTTTAAAAACCATTTTTCAGTTACGTAAATTGTATCCAGAGTTGATTTGCGGCCTTTGGACTGAGAAATCACTGTCCTTGGCCATACTTAAGGCCTCAACACTGATCACATCGATTTATGGCGCATTGTTTCGCAATATTATAGCACCAGTTATTGGTATTAGTGTTGTTTTTGTAAACAAAGAGGAATTCAATCTGTAAGCATAGCAATTAATCAGGATTTACCCCCTATTATGAATTCGTACGATGCACGATAAACGCTTGCATTCTGTTATCCCCTATTACGAATCGATGTTTGTCGCAGCAAATCCGATAGTTAGCGTAACTGATTTGTGTTGGTTACCGATAAAAAGTGAACAAAAACCACAGACATTCAAATTAATACATCTGTTGAGCATATGAAAAGAATAAACGAAAACTAATTTCATACGATAGGCTTGCAAGCGTTTATCGTCTATCACATGGAAATTCATAATAGAGGGTTTAATTCGTTTTTATATATGTTTATTTTTAATTCTTTAACTATTTCCAGCCATATCGCTGATCTTTGGCGTAATGTTGGCGTACGGCCACTGGTATACAATGTAAACTCACCCAACGAAAAACGCTACTTTCAGAAGACAATGAAAACGCAATATTTAACTGATTCATTACGCTCCGAACCACATCTTCTTATGAAGGCTTAGTTAAGAAATAATTGGCTTTGCATGTACATTGTACGTCTATGTTTGTGTACTTCATCTATTTTTTGCAACCAAATATTTTCTGGATACAAACTACACACCGTCCCTACATATTTATATTACACTAATGCAGCTATACATGTTTTTTTTTTTTTAATTTCTTTGCTGCTGGCACAATTTCTACATGAAACTCAAATTTATTTTACCATTGTGCATTTAAATTGACGTATAGGTTTTACCACGAAATATATTTATTTTTTAGTGTTTTGTATGTAAGGCTTAGAAAGTGCTTTTAGTAGTATAGATTAACTCAATATTACAATATTACCTCTACGGTGATTTTTATGCTCTACGCAAGTCTGAATAATGTAACATAAACTCATCATTTAAGAAGCTGTTCCCATGTATAGCGTACAAAATACTTTTAAATCGAACGAACAAAATAATGTAATCTTTTACGTAACGCATTTCGGCGAATTTTTGACAAAATAATTTAATTGAATTCATTACTTTTTGATCTTTGTCAACTCCTGTTCAGATACATGAAAAATTTGAGTCGAGTGGTCATTTTCATTTCGAGAAAAAATTGAACAGTGAATGATAATGCGGCAATCAATGGGTGGATTTAACTTTGTTAATGCAGACATATTTCTCTAACACCCAGCGAGACTGAAACTTGACAAGGTGATATAAGTGGTGTTGTCAATAATCTACAGTTGCGCACATTTAAATAAATTATAATATTATTAAAAATGGAAATATACAGTCATGAGAAAAATAATAGGGCGACGACATTTTGACCAGTTTCGGCTATTCCTCTTTTCTTTGTTTAATGTTCATTATTATTTTTAAATAAAAAAGGAGCTCGTTTTCTAACTAAAACAATATAAGTCTAAATTTAAAACTTTTTATTGCGAATTTTTTAAAAAATTCTAAGTGTGCAGTTTTATAGTCCATTAAATTCTAGCCAGTTTTAAGTGGCTAAGAATTCCCGTTGGTTTTTGAAAATTTTTTTGCCGATGGTGTCATTATTTTTTCCATACAAAAAAATTTTTAGAACACACTTTGTATGGAAAAAAAGGCGTGATACCGTTAAAAAAAAATATTAAAAATCAGCTCGAATTCTTAGTCACGTGAAACTTACATTTACAAATTTAAGCTATGGCCTATAAAACTGCATACCTAGAATATTTATAAAAATATTGTTGAATTTTTCTACAAAGTTCGAAATGTAGACTCGCATACATAACCCTATGGTTTTTGTTAGATGAGCTGCATAAAAAAAAAAATTATAATAAACATTAAACAAACAAAAGAAAAATAGTCAAAACTGGTCAAATTATTATTATTATTTATTTTTTATTATATTGTGTTTTAAGTTATTGAAAAAACGACTTTTCAGAAGGGAAAAATTGTGGTAATTTTGAGGTTTTAATACATATTAGGCCTTATGAATAAAAAAATAAGCAATTGCTTTTTCTTAAAATTTCAGACCTTTTACTTAAATTTCTTTGAACAGGTGAAAGGTGTGAAATTTTAAGAAAAAGCAATTGCTTATTTCTTATTCATAGGTCCATTGTCATCATCAGTGCAAAAGGGCATATTTTTCGGAAATGCTGTTTTAGAAATCCAATTAGTTGGCTCGCAAGCACAAAAATTCAAGGCAGTACACGAGATTTATTAGGATATTTAGAATAGCTCTGTAAGCATTTTCTATGTAAATATGTATGCACTATGTAAATTTAAACAGTTTTTCACTTCTGTAAAATTTCGAAATTTGCCGAATAGGGCCTTTTGTTTTTATGATGACGTCATATGCTTATGTAAGTATCAACCGAATATCAAATAAGAAATGCTTTACGTTGTTCTAAATAGGACACGCTTTACAGAATAGGACATTCTTTAAAGAATTTTCGCTTTTAAATTGTATTATTATTTTTATTTGTATATTTACTTTTGTTAAATACTTTAGTTTAGCCTACACATGTATTCATGTACACTGGTGGCAGCAATAATAGACTCGACCTTATTTTGACAAATTTTTGCTATAATTCCTTGGTTTATTTAATGTTTAATATTTTTTTAAATAAAAGTCTAGCTAGTTATACAACAAACACCATATATATCCACATTTCAAACTTTGTACAAAAATTATGAAAATTCAGTAAATTTTCACCTAAAATTTAAAACTTATAGCTACAAAATACCATTGATTTTTTTTCTTAATATGATCAAAATAAGGTTTACTATTTCTGCCACCAGTATATGTATTTATTTTAATTAAGTTAATTATCGACATGTATATTTTCTATTGTATAATTGCGTTTTTTGCTAACCAACAAACAACTTGTGGCTTATGCTGTTCCACAACAACAATTCGATAAGGCAATAACGAAAACACAAAAAAGCTTAAGATGCATGCCGGCATTTGATTTGTTCATTTATAAAATATAAACGTTATATGTACGTACATATGTACGTATCACAGCAATTAATTAAATATCTATGTATGTATGTATATGTCAAGAAGCTATTAAGTAAATAAAATTTGATTGACCTGTATCGAAACATAGAATTGAATTGTTGTCATATTTCATCATATTCTCATCTTAGCCCAGTAATATTAGACTTTTTCTCAAAAAAAAATTTGTTACAGCGATTTTTTGATGCAGTTTTCTTCCGTTTGACACGTGGATCCACAGTCTTTCCCCTAAATTTCATACGGAAACACTCCGCCATTTTTGATTTTAGGTGTTTTTTTTTTGCAATTTGCAAGCTTATTTTGCATTTTTCTTAAAAAATGGTTCAATACAAATTTGTAATGAAATTTAATTTTCCACATTTCTTATATAAAAGGTTAAAAAAAAAACACTCTTTATTGTAAATAATTAGCAAAAACTGTGGAAAAATTTCACATTGTCACGGTCTTCGCCATTTTTCAACAATTTCTGTTGAAAAAACGTAGCATATTTAAATTCCACAATTTTATACGAACATTTTTTTGGTACGACACACAGTGGTTCAGAGCTCACATTTAAACCGTGACCGATTTTTCCCAAATGACAAACATATTAATCTGCTTTAGAAGGGGCGCATTTGAAACTAAAACTCATTTCGATACCTCTTCCGGTACCGGAATTATAGCCTAACGTATGGTCACAAGAAATGGATAAGATACACTATGCGTTAAATTAAAAAAGTATGACAATATGGGTGTCCAGTGAAAGGTTATCGGAAATATTTTAGCATAGACATATTTTCGGGTTGCCGACCCGTTGAAATTTTAAAGTTATTTTACAATATTCGTTTTCATAATTTTTCCGAGAGAATACATTCTCTAGAGAAATTTTTATTAAACATAAATAAAATTGCAAGTATTAGACACATTTTTACGATTTTTCAATGCTCACATAAGGATTCTAAAGTTGTTTCTTTCTCATAATATTTTTGTTCCGATGCAACTCTATTTTGTTTTCAGAAAAAAATAAGCTTCAAATTTATAAAAAGAAACGTAGAAGCTACAAAATTATACGAGTTTTGACATAAGACACCAGAAAGTTTTACACATTTTATAACCTATTTTAATTACAGTTTAATATAAAAATAAGAATTCACAAAAATTATTACATTTTTACGGATCAAAGGCTTTAAAAACAGCCACCTAAGATTCTGTTCGGCTGCTGAGGGAGTGGCTCAAAAAGAACAATAAAAGGCCTTTAGATTAATAAGGATACATAGAAGTAAATATAGTTCGGAGCAATTTGTATCGAGCTTTTGACCTATTTTTTAATATGATGGAATCTGAAATACTTTACTCAATTAGTTTTAGACAAACAATTTACGTTAAGAATAAACTGCAGTCAAGACCGGTACTAGTCTGTGCGAAGTATAAGTTTCATTAAGTAATTCAGTCTGTGGCGCTTTAAGTGGATTCATCGCATCAAGCTCCAATTTTTTTAATTTTACCGCATTTTCCTTGTAAACTTATTTCAGATATTATCAGATCTGATCATAGCAAAAATATGGTTTGAAATATGAAAATATATTTAAATGACTTATTTGGTCCATTTTAAATTTATAATTTCCTTTTGATAAACAAGTTTAAACAAATATGTAGGTATAAGTATGTTAAAGCTGTAAAAAAATCTTTTATTTGATATCCATATTGCAACAATTACTTTTAGGTAGTTATAAAAAGGTGGCAACCTTTTCCGGACAAAACCTTTTCATTTAGTTGGAAAATACCATATTTTCCAATTGCAAACTTTCGTACAAGTCGTAGAGCGGTCGAAGTTACATATAACATAATTCATTGTATTCACAATCCGGTGCATATGGTATTGCATGTGCATATTTCGGTACATTTGCAAATTTTATTAGGGGAGCTCACTTTGAGTAGCATTTTATGTGTAAAGTTGCTACGTAGCAATCTACCACATGTTTTGTTGCTCTTCCAACAACAAAATGCGTGCTAGATTGCTACGTAGCAACTTTACACCTAAAATGCTACGGAAAGTGAGTACCGCTATTGTTGTAAACGTGCACAATACAACAATAAAATTAAAAATCACTGGGATATACATGGGCAAGACCATATGCAACGGAGTGTAATTACCCTTAATAATATACAAAAGCCAATAAAAATGTATAGTACAGATGCATAAAAATTTGGCCCACTAACTTCTGATAAACAGATACATGATAAAAAAAAGGTAGTTTCAATAAACAAGTTTCATAAATTCATTCGCATATTCATACCAATGTAATATTTCAAATCAAAAACCATTATCCGTGCTTGGTATTTTATTTACTTACGTAGCTCGCACTATTTTTATTAAAACTCTATAAAATATAATCTATTAAAGAAGACTTCATCGTAATTGTTATTTTTATTTTATAATAAAAACCATGCGAGCATTATTTTTTTATTTTGAATGCAATCTTGCGAAAACCTTTTTATATTTTTGTTCAAATTTAATTTTAAATTTCTCATCAGATTTTGAAAAAAACTGGGCTTTATGATTAGCGTATCACCATTAACTTTCACAAATTTTTAATTTAAAATGCAAAACCGCGTATGTGAGGTTGCATCAATTATTTTCTAGAGAGTAAAAGCACTCATATTTAAAAATGGTTCTCTTTTTTTACAAAGAAATCGCATTTCAGGACGAATGGATAAGATTTGACCCAAGAGCTTGTGTGAGCAAATCGAATTTTTGGCAAAAACTGTCAGTTACGCGGTTTTGCACAACGACGATACGCGGTTTTGTATTTTAAACAACGATATGTATGACACTTTCTTCACGCGTTCTGAAACCGAGTCGTCAAATTATGTAGCCGGCATAATTTTCAAGTCCATAAAATAAAATCTTCTACCTAAAAAAAAAAAAAATATTTCTTCAAGTGATCAGGTAGCATGGAAATGTCATAATTTTATTAAAAGACGAATGCTTAACAAAAACTACGAATGTCATTAAAAGAAACTACCTTCTTTTTTGTATCAGTACCAGGTTGATCGAGCTTTGCCAGGAGTGCATATATCGACTGCTGAGTGGAAGATCGACCTATCTGGGCAGCCAGTTCGAAAACGCCCTATCTCAAAAATCTTGTCAAGAACGCCCTATTTCAGAATTCGTTTCAAAAACGCCCTATCTCAGCTACCGATATTTTCAACACATTTTGAAGTGAGATAGGGCGTTTTTGAACCGAATTTTGAGATAGGGTATTTTTCAATTAAATTCTGAAATAAGGCGTTCTTGAAAAGTTTTTTGAGATAGAGCGTTTTCGAACTGGCTGCCGAGATAGGTCGATCTTCCACTCAGACATCGATATGTACTTTTTAAAGTTTTCAAGAATTGGATAGCTTTCAAACAAAATTTTGGAAATAAACAAAAAATGGGTTTTCGATATCTATTAAGTAAATTCCTCTCTACTCTAAAATTTAGGTGGAAACCCTATTCCGAAATACGCTGGAATGAATGGTACATATCTTGAGCATATGTGTACTGTGTATACATACATAAAAAAATGTCGATGAAATTAACAAAATAAAAATTTGTATTACATAGAACCCTGGAAATCCTGATGGAAAATATTTTCTGACCAAAGTTCTCAACAATACTTTCCATTTGATACCCATATTGCGAAGTTTTAGATAAATTGTGTATAATCGGAAATAAGTGGCAACCTTACACTATTATCCTAAGAGATAACATTTTATATATAGAGAAAGCATTGTTTAAGAACCTTCTTTTGGTACCCATGAATAGTAATATTTTACCTTTTTTTGTAAACAAAAAATTAAATAAATATGCGATTCAAAATAGGTGGCAACCTTAAAAAAAATCTTTTTGGATTAGGGATCTTTAAAATATCATCCATTTGATACCCATATTATGATGTTTTAATTAAATTTTAACTAATTTCGAATAGGTGGCAAGCTTGTACGAGTCTTCTCGGAGATAATGTCTATTCAGATAACATTAGAATCCAAAACATTATCTGTGTACAAAATTTCATCAAAATCGTTGGACCCGTTCCCGAGAACCTTTTGGATATATATATATATATATATATATATATATATATATACAAGAATTGCTCGTTTTATGTAATAAGATGAAACATACCTCCAAGTCAAAATTACACATACCTAGCAGGGTTGCATAGAGAATCTGACACAAATTGATTGCCAATTAATTAATTGGCAATGAATAATTTGAATTTTTGTATGATAAATTGGGTAACACATAAGGTTCTTAATTGCCAATTAGGTGCCTGTTTGAACATAGTCTAAGTAGGGTATTGACAATATATGCATCTCTGCTAAGTCTCAGTTCCCCAGCATAATTGGTTTTAGAGATATAGTGGTTTTCGCATTTTAGTCTATTATAGCATTGACACATTAAGTTAAACTTTTGGCAAATAAAATTAATCTTTTGGCAAATAAATTTAATCTTTTGGTAAATAAATTTAATCTTTTGGCAAATAAAATTAATCTTTTGGCAAATAAAATTAATCTTTTGGCAAATAGATTTAATCTTTTGGCAAATAAAATTAAACTCTACTACAGTACTAAACAGTGTTTGAAAAAGAAACATAAAAACTCCTGTTGCTGTGCTGGGAAAGCATGTTTTTTTACTTTTGACGCTTAGCTTTACTGCGTCAATAGCAAGTGTTAACTCCAGGATAGCTGAAGTGTTTTTTGGTTTTTCTGTTCTGTCGATTTGACTCCTCACTTACAAACAGTTCTGTCACAGCCATGGTCTCAAATATTCGTCAAACTTTCTGGCGCATTTTATTTCAACCAAACCACACATTATGTCGAAATGGGATAAAAAGCATCTAAAATGCTACAAATCTGGAAGCCCCTTAATATATTTTCAAACGCAGGTACAAAAAAAATTATTTATGTGCATTCGCACATATGTACATTAGGGTGCTCATCGAAAATGTTTTTTTTTGTAAATTTCAAGACCCAACCCCTTAATTTTATTCGTTTTTATGAGAATTATTATTGCCTATTTTTATAGATATTTTAAAGGTCATTAAGAGGTCGCGACCTGTCGATTTAGGTTAAAAAAATACGGCTGTAGATTTATGAGTTTTTGGATGACTATTTTTGACCGATCGAAGATCGAATGTCATCTGTCTAAAATTAAATCTATTTTCAAATGAACTGATACCCCATTAATTTCAATCGCATTAAAATTGTCGAATTTATGAGCGTTTTCTTAAATACGGCCTTGAATTTATATTAATTATGTACCGGGCTTTCAGATTTTTTAGCAGTGTGTGTGTGCTAAGGAATTCATCAATATTTATTCAAAATTTATAAACATATACAATCGTTCTTTAGCAAAGAAGTGGGTTTTCAGGAATTTTTTGCGAAACTGGGGGTGGTACCGCCGACTTATATCATATATACGTATCTCAAAAGCTACTTGATCGATCTCAACCAAATGTGGTATTGCGATTAAGCTTCTTAAGCCCCACATTGAAAATGTTTGAAGTCGGACAAAAACCACGGGTTCCACCAACGTAACGGTAGTTCCAAAAAACACAAAGCTAGCTATATATTAGGGGAATTAGATTTTTTCGGATTATGACATACGTGAACGTACTCTTTATCCCATTCGGCGTATACGACTGACGTATCACGTAATTTTCATTCGTATGGTTTTCGATCCGTGAACGGGTGTTACGATTAGAGCCCTGGTCTTTCCATCGCAGTCGCAGGGCCTCCCTCTTCCTCTGCTGCCACCGTTATCTTATCTTAATTCATAAAGGCCCTAATCACAGGAGAAGCAAAAAAAAAAAACATTTTAAAAAGGAGTATCAAAAACAGGTACACTGCCGGCAAAAAGTATTGGCGCAGCGTATTTTGCACAAAATATGCACCAATTTCTATTCTAATATTTTTTCGCCAATTTTTTTGTAAAAATATGGCTCATATTTTATCGCCAATTTTTTTGTAAAAATATGGCTCATTCTAAAACAACAAACACAAAAATATAATTTCTAAACTTTGTGCAAAATTCGCGAAAATTCAATGAATTTTCATACAAATTTTCAACTTTTTTATTCGATTTTTTCGAACTTTCTTGAGTATGCAATTTTGTTGCCAATTAAATTCTAGTATAAAAAATATATTTTTTTTTGTTGAAGGTGTTTTGCATTTTCGCCATTTAAAGTATTTTCTAAATTTTTTTTGTATGGGAGACTGTGTGAAAAAAAATTTGCCAAAAATCAATGGCTATTCGTAGCTACTTGGAACTTGCAATACAATTTATTGGGCTACAAATCTGCATACCCTAAAAAATTCTAAAAAATCAGATTAAACACTTTAAAATTTGTATTAAAAGTTTTGATATGAGTTTTGCACAAAGTTTAGAAATTATATTTTTGTTTTTTTTTGTGGATTGAACCATATTAAAAAAAAAAATGTCGGAAAAATATGGCAGTAAGAACTGTTGCATATATTGTAAAAAAGCATCTGTGCCAATACCTTTTGCCGGCAGTGTAGGACTTTTTAAAAAGTGGCATGTAGCTCCGGTGTGTTTGGTACTAACACTTTACAATTTTTATTTAAGGTGTACTTGAATACCTCCTACCAAAATCTGTGAAAAACGCAGTTTCAAAAAAGTGTTGGTTAGGGTGTGAATCAATGTATATTTACATAAATCGAATGAAAAGAACATCTTATAAAATCGACATACGATTATTTTTATTTTATTTTTTGTTTTATAGACATAAAAGTACAATATAGTATGTTGGTAGTATTAGTAGTTTGTTGTATTTGGGTAGAATATGTATGTATGTATGTATAACTACTACTCTATATGCCAAAGGCGAAATAAAATGCATATGCAATTCATCATTATTTATTTTGTCTTTTTTTAATTTTTTTATTCGAACACAAAATAATGAAATATGTCTGCGCGTTCATGCGAACTAATTTAAATACAGGATTACTCAGAACAATTCCGTAAATTTAATCGAGAAAAAAAACAAATCAATGGTTATTCATTAAAAGACAAAATAAAGATTTCTGCTCATTAAATAAAGATTTCTGCTCATTAAACTTCTTGGGGAAAAAGGCCGAAGATGTGGCTTGAATGAATGAGAGATGGTTAGTAGATGCATGATTCTAATAGCTAGCACTGTTATCCCATTGTGAATGCATTAGCTGATAACAAAAATTGTAAGGTTGCTGATAAAAAATTGTAAATGCTTAAAAAAACTAAGCGCAACTACACCCGTTACTCATATTATCTTTTCTGTTGCTCTTCTATCGTTCACTTCCGGCGCGAACGCGTTGCACGTTTGGCCGGCGCTGTTTTCTCTGCTGGCATTTCAACGGCAACAGCTTCCGCTGGCATTTCGGCACTGGTGGTGCTTGAAGGCGTAGCGGCATCGAATCGAACTACTTTGCGGCTCCGACTGCTACCTGTGCTCTCTGAGGCTGTATCTATGTGTGTGGCGTCATCTTGTTCGGCGACAGCGCGACGACGTCCGCGTTTCGGCGCAGGGGATTCGGTAGCCCTGGTAGCTGGTTTACGCGTTGTTACCGTACGTTTTTTACCTGCTGCCTTCCCTCCCTTAACCGTTGCAAGTGGCTTGTCTTCTCCTTCTTCCGTAATCGTTAGCGCGTCCTCGTCTTCCTCATGCTCATCGTCGGCATCGACAGCTAGCGATAACTGGGGCCCACCACTACTGCTGGCTTCACTATCTTCTTGTAAGACGTTTTGTGAGGTATAGGAACGAGCGTCGTCATCGTCATCTAGCTGTTTGTTGCGCCGTCCTCCGCGTACTCCGCGCCCAGCAGCTGTGGCTGTTCGCGCCTGCTTAGTTGGTTTTTGGGTTTCAATTGAAGGCGTTGCCGCCTGGGCGCGTGCTCCCTTTGTTTCGACATCAGTGTGTTGCTCCTCCTCGGTGGCAGTAACATGAGCGCCTCGTCGCCCGCGTCCAACACGCGCTTTTGTGTGTGAACCAGTTGGCTCGTCAGTTATAAGTGCCGCTGCTGCCGCGGCTTTGGCAGCTCTTCCACTTCGGCCACTGGCAGTATGTGCCTGCGGCGTCGGCGTGGAAACCATTGCGGCCGATGTGTGCTGTGCTTCATTCAAATCACTTTCTAGGGGAATGTTTGCTTCAGCATGCTTGCCACGTCGTCCGGGCCGTTTAATAACTTGAGCAGTGGTTTTCAACTCTTTTTCTTCCGCATGACTGCTGCTGTGGGTCGTTTCTAGCTCAGAATGTGTGTGTTCTAATTCCGAGCGCGATTCCTCTGAAGTCACCGCAACAGCAATGACGGCTTTTTCAGTGCGCGCCCGTCCACGCACCGGGGTGTGTGATTTTACAGGCGCCTCAGTTTCAATAGCGGAGGCTTTTCGGCCGCGTCTGACTGGGGTGCCGCGCGCTTGTGATGTAGGCGTTTCGGCACCAGCGGCTAAATTGAGTAGCAGCCGCTTCTTCGGAGTTTCAGCTTTAGCTCGCTCCTCCTCAAGGTACTGTTGTACGCGTGCGGTGGGTTTGCGTTGCCGACCACCACGACTTGTGGTTGCGACCGCCGATAAGATGGGAGTGCTCACGGCTTTCGACGCGATTTCTTTCACAGTCGCCGGTGTCGTTTCCGGTGGGCTCCGTTGTTTCGGAGCAGCGTTCGCTGCTGTTGTAGCGCTAATGGTATTTATTTTAGGCAGCGCTGCTTTTTCGATACGTCGTTTCAGATCAACCTGTGCTTCCGCATCTGAGCTCTCGTCGTAGTTGCGGTCTTGTGCGGCAGCAGCTCGTCTTGGTATATTACGCGAGCGTTGTGGCGTCGTCGATGATGACGAAGTGTTGCCTCCAGCGTTGTTATCTGCATCGCCACCAGTACCTTCATGTATGCTACTATCGAGCGAAGAATCGCGTCGCTTCCGACTGAGTGGACGCTTCTTTGGCGGTTCACCTCCGCCGTCGCCAGCCGCTGTCCCTTCCACGCTATTGAGGGAGTCCTTGCGCTTACGTCCGCTGCGCTGTTTTGATGATACCGCAATGGGCGACTTCTTCGGTGCAGAACTAGTAGTAACTTCCTCCTGGGGTCCTTGTTTATTGGTACTCTGCGATTCGTCTTCATGATGGGACTCACGGCGTCTGCGAACGCGCTTAGCCGCGGCCTTTGTCGATTCTTTTTCTTCTGTTTCGGATTTTTCAGCACCATCTGCATGAGCCGACTGACCTTCAGCTGTGGATCCACGTCGTTTACGTATCGCCTTATGTGGTTTCTTATCCTCTACCACTTTCACTTCCCCTCCATCTTCAGCATGAAAGTCTTCACCGATTTCTTTTTCCATTTCTTCTTGTTGTTGTGCTGTCTGTGGCTTATTCTGGTGGGTCTTTCCTCTCGGCGCACCGCGTTTGTGAACTGATGAAACTTCATTGATTGCTACTGTGGCAGCAGCGGCCGCTCCTCGGCGTCCTCGTCGCCCACCTACTGATTCCGAAGCCGCGTTCGACGGTTGCTCAACTGTAAGTTCTGCGTTTTCAGATGTTTTAGCCACAGGATCCGTGCCAGCGGATTCATCCACATTTTGAGCTTTATCAGCTTCTGTCTTGCGTTCATGCTCTTCATCTGTTTCTGCTTTCTTTCTTCGATTCACGCGGGTTCGACCATCATTGGCAGCCTTTGTTACTGGCTCCTCTTCTTTTACTAGTGGCGTCTCTTTATTCGGTTCCACTTTGAGGTCCTCTGATGCCTCGGACAATTGCGGACTGCCTTTGGTTGTTTGTGAAGACTTGAGTGTACGCTTGTTACGTGTCAGTGCACGTTTCGAAGTCTCTGCTGTAGAGTGGTGCTCACACTCTTCATTTTCTCTCTCTGTTTTTATTGCGTCCCCGTCTTTATCAATTCCTTCTTCGGGAACA